GAATACTTCTTTCTGATTGGCCAGAGAGTGTGTGTGTGTTGAACCATGTAGTGAATGTAGTCTAAGCCACAGATATAAATGGAAATACTTGCTTTTAATGTGATTTTAATGAGTGCTTTCAAAAATAGACATGTTAACTGATTATATTTATCAACTACCAAAATACTGAGTGAGAAGATAAATCTAGATCAAATCAATATTTAGTCGAGGGGGTGTTTCCAGATGTGCTGTCCAAGCTCTTTTGAAGGAGCACAAAGAAACTGGCAACGCTGAGGACAGAAGACGCAGCGGTCGGCCAAGGACACTTACTGCAGCAGAAGAAAGACACATCACGCTTACTTCCCTTCACAATCAGAAGATGTCCAGCAAAGCCATCAGCTCAGAACTGCAAAAACACTGGGACCCTGGTCTACTGTCCAGAGAAGTCTGGTCAGAAGTGGCCTTCATGGAAGACTTGGGGCCAAAAAGCATCCGACATGGAAACAAGGCCAAACTACTCAACTGTGGATGAAAACAGAGGAGGAGGGTGGCAGAAAAATGGCAGCAGGTGCTCTGGACTGACCAAATGTGAAATATCTGGCTGCAGCAGAAGGCAGTTTGTTCGCCGAAGGGCTGGAGAGCGGTACAAGAATGAGTGTCTGCAGGCAGCAGTGAAGCATGGTGGGGGGCTGCATTTCTGCAAACGGAGGTGGAGTTTTGGTCAGAATTAATGGTCTCCTCAATGCTGAGAATTCCAGGCAGATATTTATTCATCATGCAGTACCATCAGGGAGGCATCTGTTTGGCCCCAAATTTATTCAGTTCAGTTCTTTATTGTCATTCAAAGATGTAAAACATGAAGGAATGAAATTTGTTTGCCGGGTCCAGCAGCGTACAGAAGAAATAACAAATTAAGATAGGTCCTATATAAAAACATTTAGATAATCTTAAGCATAACAAACCATAGTTAAAACCATGCGGCATCATTAAAGTGCAGGAGCAGCAATGTGAGAGCAGCGGGCTGGAGGAGCTCTAAGCCACAGAGTTCATAAACCTCCCAGCCTCTGGGGGAAAAGGTGCACGTTAGCCTCGGTGTTCTTGATTTTAGGCTGCCTTCTGCCAGAGGGGAGGGCGGTAAACAGTTTGTTCGCCGGGTGGGTGGAGTCCTTCATGATACCTGATGCCCTGCTTCTGCACCTGCTGACGTAGATGTCCTCTAGGGAAGGGAGGCTGTTATTTGTTGTTATTTACTCGTGGCAGCGCCTTCCTGTCAGCCGCAGAGCAGATTCCATACCAGACAGTGATGGAGGATGTCGGTGTTGTCTCCACGACACACCGGTAAAAACAGGTCGGGAAAGCAGGGTTGAGGCCGGCCCGCTTCAGCCTCCTCAAAAAGTACAGGCGTCGGTGGGCCTTCTTAATAATGCTGGCTGTGTTGGTGGCCCATGTGAGGTCACTGGAGATGTACAGGCCCAGATATTTAAAGGTGGAAATCATCTCCATAGTTACTCCATCAATGAAGAGGGGAGGAGGTGGGGTATGACCTCTCCTCCTAAAGTCCACAACCATCGCCTTAGTCTTTCCCACACTGATGCAGAGATTGTTTGCTCTGCACCAGACCACGAGTTCATCCACCTCCTGCCTGTACGCTGACTCGTCATTGGTAGATATCAGTCCAACCACAGCCGTGTCATCTGCAAACTTCACCATGTGGTTGCTCAGGTATTTTGCAGAGCAGTCATATGTGAGGAGAGCGAACAGAAGACGGCTGAAGACACATCCTCATGGGGAGCCGGTGTTGATGAGTTTCAATGTATTGTCTATTAAGAGATGGGCAAAGAAAGGATTGATTGGTTTTACCATATGTATTGGCTGCTATTGGCAACCAATGGCTGTATACACATTGAAGAAAATTAGCTAATTAACACACGTAAATGTCTAAAACATTTACACGTGTCGAATGACAAGACAAAAACAATTACAATCAAATGAAAGTTCTTCTTTTAGCAAGATAAAATTACACCACAGTAAATCACTGAAGAGATTTGCACAAAATCCCCACAGGACAGCGAAATGTAGACATTCAGTTTTTCTACCACACTTGCATTCCACTGATAGATTCTGATAACATGTTGTATTAACACATTTAGCCGCTTCTATAATTAGTATAGTATAGGCTAAGGAAGGAGGCCCACCGGCCCGGAGGTTGGCCAGCCATTGGGAATAGTCCCAATGCTCCAGATGGCCAGACCGCCACTGGACGCTGAGCTGGGAGGAAATGTTGGGATTTGTTGCAGGGAAAAAACATAAAGTTCCTTCGGGCATTGTGTTTCTCCCAAAATGTTTTCTGTTAATGCAAAATAGTTGAACATGAATGTAATTCACTGGAGGTTGTTCAGCTCATTACAGAATAAATTAGGAGCCATTAAGCAGTTGGGAACAGAATAAGAAATGAAATCCCTCTCCCTCTCTGGTCTCTGTGCAGTTTCAGTTACATTTTTATTCACTTTATTTACTTTGTTTGTTTGTGAATATAAAAACATATTTGGTCTTTTATCAGCTTAGACTGAATATTAGACTCCTCATTTTAAATAGACGTCCTTCTTGTTCCTTCAGTTACTGTGTCTGCTTTTGTTTTCTCAACCTGTACATATGGACGACTAACTCCACCTGACCCCTCCTTTCTTCTTCTGTCCTTTCTTTGTTTTGTTTCTCTTTCCTCTCTGACCTCCTCCAGCATTTCTCTCTTCTCCTGTTTTCTCGAGGTTGATTCTTTTTTTTTTTTTACCACCTCTCCCTCGTTTCCGGCTCGTCTTGTTTTTCTCACGCTCCGCCAGTCAACCTGAAAGTCTCTCTCTTCCATGATCTAATTCCCTCTCTTGTTTGCTCTTGTTTACTCCTTTTCCTCTGTCTTCTTCCTCCTCACCCTCTCCAACTACCTCCTCCTTCCTTCATCACAGCACTTCCCTTCCTCGTCCTCTTTCGGCTGTCAATTCAACCCGGTTTCATTTAAAGTCCAACAGAAATTAATTAGCCTTTTCTTGTGTCTGCTAAGCTACATATCTGCTCTATAAACCACCAAGAAATCTGTATTTTATATTCTTTGGTTTCATGATAGCATCCCTCGATTTGTATTAATTTGCTGGAATACCGTTCGATCTGTTGATGTAAATGGAGAGAGTGAAGCTAACTGCAGCTGCGGCATTTATTTGAACTGACACAAATAATGATGATGTGACAGAAATTTGTCTGTATAAACTGCCGTTCTGCTCTGTTCAACATCATCTCACTGCACTTCATTGAGTCTAGCACACTTACAGGCATTAAGGACAATTAATTACATGTTGAAAAGGCTTTTGTTGAAACAAATCAGAATCAGGTTTATTGCCAGGTACATTTTCACATACGAGGAATTTGCCTTGGTATGATTTGGTGCTTACAGCACACATAACATAAATATAGTAATATAAATATATGAAAAGTAAGGAGATCAAAAGTTTACAAAAAATATAAAAAGATACAATAATACTATAACACAATGCTGACAAGTATGTGCAAAAGTTGGCAAATACTAACATTAGTAATGGTTATTTAGTAAATTCCTCGTGATTAGCGTTCCTTAAGAGTTTAAAATAAAAGATGTTTTCAGATCTCTCAGCTCTGTAAAAGTAACATCGGTGGCTGAAATGTAAATGTCGTGGAAATTGTATATTGCTGGTGAGGGATTAAGCAAATAATTAACAACCAACAGTTGTCCATGAAGAATTTATTAATAAAAAGAGAACGACAGAGAAGTACTATAACAGAAAATCAGCTGCCGTCTAGGGCAGCTTCAGGCCTCGAGCAAAGTAGCATAATCATTTACACGGTCACGGTTTCTGTGTTTCTGTTGGGAACAGTAAGTAAGGAAAACACCAAAACAATCTCACAGCTCTGACCTAAACCCCAGTTAAATGTGGACAGACCAACATAAGGAGTATAGAGGAAGGAAAAGTTAAGGATAGAAACAATCAGGGCTTGACATTAACACCCGCCAAATACAGGGCAGCCACAGTCCCTCAGACCTGTAGACCGTCAGCCTCCCGCCTGTTTTTAACCTGATGGTATGATCTCTGTCATCACACGCGACTGGTCACATGCACACACACATCAACACAGCGTTCAGTCAGTGCGAGAGTGTGCGAGGCCGAGCAGTGTGGAGAAGAAATGCACAGGAGAAGAAGAGAAAGAGAAAAGGCAGGAGGAAAGTGCCCTTAAATGCTGTAAAATTACAGAGATCTTTATGATTAGAGAGATGCTGTCACATATCGTCATATCACAACGACCTTTCCAGAGTTGATTCTATGTTTTAATAAAAGTTGGCATGCCATGTATGTAAGCAGGAGATGCGTTTGTATGGGAATAATCGGGAAAATAAACCTGTATACTGGTTTTGTATCTCCAGTTACTCAGAGCTAGCAGAGTTTCATGGTGATAAACATAGATCCAGTCAGATGCAATGCAGATGCAAAACAAACAACCCAAAAGTGCACAAAAATGATATATGCCTACATAAAATTTAATCCTATTGCCTTAATTGTTGCTCTTTGTTGGTTTCTTTCTTTTTAGCCTAAGTGCTGTTATAAATAAAAAGGATTTAGACTGTGTTTCTGTTTAGTTTTCTTTTCAATTAATATTTCACATCCATGCAGCACTTTTATTATATACAATAAGAAGCTGCTCTTAATGTGTTTATCTTATTAGACTACATGTTTTCACAAAAAAAGGAGCTTTACACACAATCTTTAATTTCCCATCAACAAAACTGTGGCTACTAAAAATACTGTGTAGCTAGTAACTTTGGAAAAGTTGGCTAGTGAGCAAAAAAGTTAATGTCAAGCCCTGGAAACAATATATATCATAAGACATAACAATAATAGTCAAAGATTAAATGTAAGAGGAAGAATTTTCTGCCATAACAGTAAAAACCTTTGCTGTTGCTAAAATGACCTCCTGTCTCTTCCCCCTCTGTCTCTCTGTAGAAAGCGGACCTGGCAGTGGCCGGCTTCACGATCACCTCAGAGAGAGAGAAGGTGATCGATTTCTCCAAACCCTTCATGACTCTTGGGATCAGCATCCTCTACAGGGTTCATCTGGTAAATTCTGCACCCTTCATTGTTTTTAATTTATGACCTTGTAACAGATTTTACACATCAAGCTGCTAGTCACGGCTGCTACTAGCTGTGAAAACAGCTGAATAATGAAGCCTAGTGCATTGGTGAAAATAGCTCTACTGTATTTTATGTTGTTGACTTGGGTTCATAAGTCGGGGGGGCGGGACAAAATGGGCATAATGGGGGATTTATGAAGACATAAATCTTTAAAAATGCTCATTTAATCAAACAGCTGCTCACTGTAGTTTTTATCTAACAAACAGGAGGATATCGTGCATTTGTTGGGGACTATTTTCAGTGAATCCTCTAGTGCAGTAGTCGGCAATAGGCAGCAATAATATCTGGCAGCCAGATTGCTTTGATAGCAGAAAAATAAAAAATAAATAAAAATGAATAAATTGATAGCGGCTGATGCTGAAAAAGACAGAAACAGTTACTCACATAATCACTTCCTCTTAAGTGATTGTGCCTCCAAAATAAAAGCGCAAGAACGTTTTTTGAAGCAATGCTTCATGTTGAGTTCATTGAGAGGTTTTACTTTGAAAAGTTCTGAAGGACATTCGAAAGAGTCTCTGGCTTACTTGACGCACCTCTGAAAAAGTCATCCGTAAACGTGTCCATAGTTTTAGGAATGCAGATCAAACGACAGGACGCATATGCACTGCGGCACATGCTTTATTGTGAGCATGTGAAAAACTGTAATTTGTTTAACAAGGGAGAAATAAAACAGTCCGCAAGATTTTGGGATCGATCTTACAACTCCTCCAACGGGAGTCCTGCACTCTACTCAGCTAAACGTGCACATGAGTTTCCAAGGGTTTGAAATAATTTGACTGAAATAATGTTCTGGCCCGCCGCGTAACGGCTTGAAGAAAATTTGGCCCGATGTCAGACTTATTTGCCGACCCCTGCTCTAGTGAGTATTTTGGTGGAGCTCTATGGCTCAGAGGAAGAAGAAACATCAGGCTGTGAGATACAATACTTGTTTTGCTGGCCGCACACTTTAAGAAAAGTGGGACGATATTGGCTCTGATTCGCCCTCCAACCATCGCGTAGGCATTCCTGAACCGAGGCTGGTCTGGACCGATTATTGGCCCAAATGATCCTGTACTGTGAAGTGTACCGATTTCAAATCGGGGACCGAAACCAATTACGATTCCATATCAGGGTCCCTCTGATCAGAAACCCAAAACAGCCAATGAGATGTGAGTTTACAGGGAAGCGTCACAAGCATGTTGTGTATTTGCTTGCGGTATAAAATGTCATTACCACGCTGATTCAGACTCAGCCTCGAGTTCTACAGCTGCAGTTTTATATTCTGTTTTTTTGTTTTCCTTTACAAAACATAGCACACACAAGTGCAACCAACTGACGACGACATGCCAAAGTTACGATTTTACGACCAATAACTGAAGGACATAAAGACGTGTGTTGGACCAGAATCGCTTACCACCTTTAAACCGTAATAACCTGCTGCAAAATCTACTTTTTCTGTTGAGGACTCTCTCTCTCTCTCTCTCTCTCCGTCTGGCCGATGATTTGATGAATTCAGAGTGAAAACGCTGCACTCACAACAGCAGCCGCCTCCTCAGCAGGAGCTCCGCTGCTGGAGGCAACAACAGTCGCCGAATGCACAGGTCACACAGTCAAACTGTGAGTTCAGGACGAAGCAACAGCAAATGTTCCTGCGACCAGAGAGATCACACAGGGGGAGAAGGGCTGGGAGAGCTGATAAAAGCAGAGCTGAGGACACAGATAGAGGGCATGTTTCTTCTTCTCCTTTTTCTGAAGAGGAGAGGGGATAGGCTTCAGTTGGAGGGGAGATGACAGGAGTTGCTGCTTGAAAATATGAGTTTTTCAGCCTCTGAGGGAGACTCTGCCTCCCTGACTGGAATTTGAAACATGGACTTCCTGTGAGTCTGGCAGAGGCCTCCTCAGGATGGAAATTTGGGTGAACGAACGGCAACCAGGCCAGCAGCACCTTTTTTTTTATTTGCAAAGCCGACAACTCTGTTTCCTGTAAATACAGAATACATTTTTTCTGCTTCCAGAGGAAAAGGTGGTGAAATTCTGCACAGTTAATGCTTTTTTACTCTGTTGTGTGTTGTATATGTACAGTAGTTATCACTTTCAGTGAATGCTACTTGAATAAATAAATACAGTTAGTGTTTAGCTAGTGTGAAGCTTTGTGAAGCTGCTGTAGAATCTCTTCCTCTCTGGGGTCATTACTGCATCCACCTTTTATACAGGTTTTCTGTTGTGAGTCCGTAACATGAACCGTCTACATCAGGTTGGCTTAAGCCATGCAGAGAACAAGTAAAGGATCATTGAGATAATCAGCTTGTGGATTTGGTACCATTCTCAAGATCCACATCCATCCAACATGATGAATATAGCAGCAGTCTTTGGGATGAGCCAGCAGCTTCTTAGAGACCAATTCTGATCATTTATAGTTAGGGGCTGAAATGTTTAGCAGTTATAAGTCCTTTTTAATTCTACATCTCACTGCTAAGTTTTTGTTTAAAAACGTCTCCGTACGTTTTCGCCTGCACGAGCCGGTTTAAACAGGAAGCAGATTGTCTATTCTGCAGAAGATTTTGCGAAAGAAGAAAGTAATACTACAAACAAATAAACCACACCAGAATTGTTTTTTGCATGGACCGACAGCGAGGTGGAACTGTTACTGTCCAAGCGACTGTGGCGGCAAAAAACAGACTGGGAGTCACCGCAACAAAAAAAAATACGACAGCAAGTGTTATTTACACAATACAAAGCATTTTACTAGAAATACCAAAACTAAAAAGACTGTAAGTAGCATCCTGTTTTTTCTTTGCATGACCGATAAGAGCCAATCAGGAAGCTGGATGTGAGTGTCTGCGTCATCTTTCTAAAACGCTACCCCAGAGTTTTAAAACGAAAACAGGGTCCGTTTTAAGTCTCCGGGTCCGCTGTTTTTGTCTGGACGGGAGGTGCAAACCTAGTAAAAGGTCTCACAGGTGTCAGTTACACTGGGGACGCTGGGGACGCTGGAGACGCTGGGGACGCTGGGGACGCTGGAGACATGTCCCCACCACTTTTTTAAAGCATGATTTGTTAAATTTCTAAAATATAGCTTGCGGTTAAGTAACAAATTAAAATGCCTTTAGAAAGTTTTATGTTTGTGCATTAAGAAAACATGCAATATACTTAAAATATAGAAGAAACCAATTTTTTTTGCATTGTTCAAAAAAAGTAACTCAAGCTTAAAAAAAACAAACAAGCTGCTGATTATAAAATGACCCAAAAACGTGCAGCACCAATCAGTAACTGTAACAACTTCTGGACACAGTTTCTTTTTGGCAAAGTTTTCTGTTCTCTCCCTGTGAACATGACAAAAGAGGAGGGAAGACTAAATCATGCCTGCGTATGTGTTGCCTCAGCAGGGACGATGATACATGAGAAAAGTTGATATACAGGAGAAACAGATCTGAAAGCAGCACAGAATGCCTTAGATTCTGTTATATTGATATATATTAAAATGTCACCTGCCACCTGACTTTTGAGTTTCCTTTTACATAAATAAAAACATTTCCACCATAAATTAGTTCAGAAACGTTCACCAGAATGCGGGAAATTCAGGGTTTAAAGATGTAACTTTCTGTGATTTCTCGCGAGCGAAGTGTCTCTTCACGCCCCCACCGCTTTCCAACACAGTGACGCCCTTGAAAGATCTGCGTGTTTAAACGAAAAGCAGTGCGGATGGAGCCTAAGTCCTTAAATGTGGCAACTTGTGTTAATAAACCATTTAATTGTCGTTAAAACGTAATGATGCGTCTCCTATGAAGGCAGACTGATGACGTGCTGCACTGTCGCCGCCTGCAGATACTGTACATCTGCAGCTCATCCGTATTCACCTCCACCACCTGTCCTGCATGTTTGATCCAGTCCACCGTTGGCGCCTCAGAGTATTGACTCAGTGATCAGTCAGCTGTTTAATGTGTGTACAGCCGAGGCCGTCCTCACACAGAAACGTCCCAACTTCATTTCTTAAGTGTTTGTTTAAGGATTAAGTTGACTGTGAGCACGTTTGTTCTCACAGTAACGGCCTGTAGCGGCGATTTACAGGCTCACACCGCAGAGCTGACAAGCAGTCAGAGATCTGTCGTCTCCATCAGGAGGAGAACTTTCCTGGTCCAGTCTGAGTTGGGGGATTTGAACCGAGGCACCATTAATTCACTCCACTGAACACCAGGCTGCTGTTATCAAGCGAACCACTGGTGACCATTATACACAGTAGATAGACTGGCTAACAGGCCATGCTGATGACACACACACACACACACAGGACCATGGCTTCCTGTTGACCCCCCTTTCCCTCATTTGATTTTCAATTAAATTTGCATAATAGTAAGTGTTGAGTTTTTTCTTGGCAGGTGCCAGAGGTGGAAGATGTTTTACTTAAGTAAAACTAGTAACACCACAGTTTAAAATACTCTGTTACAAGTAAAAGTCCTGCATTTAAAATCTTTCTGAAGTACTACTCAGGAACAATAAACAATACAATGGTGTTTGAAAGTATGAGGAGCTTTGTGCACAATGTAAAACACACACACATCATCTATCTGAATAGCTTGCGAGCACACTTAAAGATGGTAATCTTTTTAATTGCTCAAGCTGTTGACTTATGCACACGCATTAGGGAAGTGCCATCATGTTTATCAGTGTTCTTGCCCCCTGGTGTTGAACAGTGTAAATTTATGTCTGCAGTTGCTCCCAATTCATTAGTACTCAATATATTATCACACTGCTATTCACTGCATCTGAGGCACAACAATTTATTACAGCTCGTACAAGGAGCTCTGACATCATCGCCAAGGAGATACCAGCAGGAGAGGAAATGACATCGTTACTATTTAGAAAAATGTGTCACGCTCCTGTGCACAAAGTTTATGATCTTTAATAGAAACCTAGACAAATGGTGATTACACAATTTGTTTGACACAAAAGACATAAAGGATCAATAATATTACTGTTAAATATATTTTAAAGCATATTTCTATCGCATATCTCCAAAATGTAAACTCCGATGTTTTTTTCATATAAACCCAATTATTCATTACGTTTCTTTGAAAAAGTAATCACATTACTTCACTAATTCCTCAAAACAGTAGTACTTAGTTACTGCTTTCCTTACTCACCACAGCTCCATCAAACAGCTCCAAATCCTTTTCAACCAGGTCACATACATTACCTCATTTAGCTGATGCTTTTATCCAAAGCGACTTACAATTGCTGTATGTCAGAGGTCGTACACATCTGGAGCAATTGGGGCTAACTGTGTTGCTCAGGGACACATTGGTGGGTGTGTCGCAGTGGGAATCGAACCCAGATCTCCCACACCAAAGTTACTGGCCACAATAAAAGGCCACTTGAAAATGTGCAGTTCCATCACGCAGCACAGCGCCACAGATGTCACAAGTTTTGAGGGAGCGTGCAGTCGGCATGCTGACTGCAGGAATGTCCAACAGAGCTGTTGCCCGTGAATTGAATGTTCATTTCTCTACCATAAGCCGTAACGGCGTTTCAGAGAATTTGGCAGTACATCCAACCAGCCTCACACCCACAGACCACGTGTAACCACACCAGCCCGGGACCTCCAAATCCAGCATCTTCACCTCCAAGATGGTCTTTTTTGAGAGCAGTAGGCCTTTTGTGTACATGGAGAAAGTGCAAAAACAAAAGTTTCACAGAGCAAGTCACAAAGTGCTGTACAGAAGTAAAATAATAAAACCACATATGTATATTAAGAGATATCCCATAATACAAAAAGAACATAACTGGTTTGAAGAGTGGGCTAGTGGTGGCATACGGGTGAAGCAAGTCTGAGATGTACCCAGGTGCTGGACCACGGGCTCTACCTTTATGTACAAATGAGCACCTTAAACTGAATCCTGAACCTGTGAGCCAGCCGGGCCTCATAAGCCAACATCAGTGTTGGACCTCACTGATGCTCTGGTGGCTGAATGGGAGCAAATCCCTGCAGCAGGTTCAACATCTGCTGGAAAGACTGAAACCAGAAGGCTGATAGAGCCGCACATTAAGGAACACGGGTTAAAAATATAAAGTCTAACTGTCACATAAGGGTTTGGGTGTCCACATACTTTTGGCCAAATAGTGAACTTTACTTTACCGCCCTGCAGTCAGAACTTTAAGGCTGAGACTACAGAAAGGAAAGCTCTTGAAAGTGAGTGTAATGAGTTTGGATGACCGACAGCTTGCCTGACACACGTCTGTCCTGTCCTGATGCTGTAAACCTCCTACGGTTTAAGAAAGCTCTGCGGTTTGTGGCCATCTGACCTGCGTCTGTTATTTATCAAGCACAAACTTAGCGTGACCTCCTGCACAGCAAACAAACTCAGCAAATACAGCGTCAGAGGACATTAGGTTTTTGCAGTTTGAGTTAAATAACTGTTTAATGTTCCTCCGCTCCTTTCTTGTTCAGACCAAAAAGAAACCTCTACAGAACAAATTAATCTGTCACAGTAAACATGAAGAAACGTTGTGTTTTCAGTGGTTCCATATCAGTGCTGTAAGTTTATTGAGGGCATCTGTGTGAGCCGGCGCAGAAATTAAACTAAAGTTTGAGTGAATATAAATGTTAGAAACTTAAAATTACCTTCGTTGTTGTTCAGTAATTGGGAGGAAATGGAATGGCAACTTAACTGAATGATGCCAATATTCGACTTTACTGGAGTGTGTGTAGTGTGTTTTAGCCCACTCACTGTAAATGACACTACTGTTTATTAGATTCAAACTGTGCTCGTGTCAGACTTCTGATAGAAACCATTCAAGATTTCCCCAAATAGAAATTTAAATGAAAAAATTAGATCAGAAAATTCCAGCTATAGTGAGGTAAGGTAAGTTTATTAGTCATTATTATTATTAGCACAAGGCTGCATAACGAAACGAAATTTGTATTTCCTTCATGCCATACACACTACACATAATTAAGTGCTGGCCTATATTAAAATATGGTAACATCTAAACTTAAACAAAACAATATATACAGTTATTTATATATATTGGTGGTGATGGAGTAATGGATGAGGCACATGACTTTTTGTTGCTCCAGAGGCGTGCGACCTCTGACATGTATAGCAATTGTAAGATGCTTTGGATGAAAGCGTCAGCTAAATGAATAAATGTAAATATAGGACACTCAAATATATTTGCGTACATGTATACACCCCAAACATTCCACAGTGCATTTTTTTAATTTGCTTATGGGGTGAATGTAAACAGCAGCAACCAGATGATGATATGAAAGTTTCATCTTCACAAAAAACAGTCTGACATTTCCACTTCCTCTCATCTTGCCGGAGTCTCGCACTGCGAGCTGGGAACATGGACCACCTGCCGAGTGCTTGATCCGGGACGTTGATGTGGCAGGTCTATGTAAAGATGGGAACTACTGTCTCTTAATTGACCCTTCACTAAGCAACTGCGCTCCATTGACTCTAATGCAAAAGGATCTGGTCAAACGCTGTTCCTGGGGCACTTGTAATAGTTACAGTCGCTACCCAGAGAGGCTGAAAGGAGAAGTAAGATTTATACTTTCCAAAACCTGAAACAAATCCAGAAACATGTCGGCTGTGGATTGTTCCTAGTGTGATGTTAGTTAGCTAACGCTAGCTAACTTCCTACTGAATGCAACGTAATAAAGTCCTGCTGTTCTGCTTTTTAATGATTGTAATAATGAATAGAGGCCGACCAGCTGTACAGGAACAGTGTTGATCGTCCATGTCCTTGTCTTTCCTCTCAGTCATCGGGGGATGCGGTGGTTCACTTGTACTGTGTGATCTGTAGGCTTTAGCTTCTATCTTTCATTTTTTTCATGTCCATTTGAGTCCGTTTTACAGCCTTCAAATGTAAAATGCAACTGCAAAACTGTCTGCTTCTTTCTGAGATCGCTTTTTCCAACACATTTGACAATATTTCTCCAGGGAGTGCAGCGATAGACAGTGGAAGCGACGAGTAACTAAGGAGGGCGGGGCTTAGCGAAGGGTCAATTCCGTTGCTTGGTCAACTTGAGTCCCATTTTGTCCAGACCGGCTCTTTGGGAGCAGAATTAAGTCCAAGCTGGGCCAGCATGGCCTGGCTCTCTTTCCTCTCCTCTCTAGTGTCAGGTCCGGTTTTTTTGGGCTGGGTGGGTCGTGGTCTGCTGCTCTTTAATCCAAAAACCCCGCCTTCATCTTCCAATGAGTGTATGACTGCTTATGTCAGAGGTAATGCATGTTTTGGCAATAAAGCCGGAAAAAAAATAAAGGTATAGCGAAGTTTGAAGGAGCTACCGGCTGCTGCTTCTCCGAGAGCTGCCGGTAGGTGGGAAGGTTGGACAGTTCTGCAGGAGATAATTAGGCCATGTTTTGAATTTTGAAAAAAATTAGACAAATAAATCAAGTGAACTTGATGTCGAAAATGACAAGATGAAAAACAGCTCAAAAACAGCCGAGTCCCATCAGATGTGAGGCCTTGGCCGGCCTCGCTTGGTGTTTTTTAAATGAGCCAAAATGGGGGGGGAAAGCAGAAACAGAGTTGATTGGGCTCCATTACAGCTCCAGTCATCTGCTGTAATTGGGTCCAATCTGGGAGTTCCTCAACTCTCCTCACTGCCAAATCCTTTTCAGCGGACAGAGGGGGGGTCAGAGGCGACATAAGCAGCAGGGAGGGGAAGTGATGAAAGGGGCCGTCGTTATCGCTTGAAAAGCCTGTAACTGCAATTTGCAGATTTATCTTGTTCTGTTTGAATTGCGGGTTTACATGCTGAGAAAATGTGACGAGCTGAAGGGGCGAAAACAGGAAACAATAGAATTCCAGGAGTGTGATTTTTTTCTGAATCGCGTGGCTGTCGACCTGAAAGCGAGGGCTGTGTTCCTGATCCTCAGACGTTGACAGCTTTCTGAGCGCTGTGGCCGACAGACGGTCGTTATCACGTCTCACTGCTGCCAGACGGAGGCATCAGAACTTCCACTGGTGTTTATGTTTTTCCACGTCAATTTAAAGTTCATGTGGTTGCGTGAAATTGTGATGCCACTCAGTATAAAACACATGCAGAACTCTTCAGCATTAGAAAGATTAAACTTCAGAAATTAAGAACTACTAGTTGATCATTTTCTGTCACACTAAGTGGGACGTTTGCACTTTTTATGCAGCTGCGTAACACTGGACAGTAGAAAGTACAGGTGTGAATGTGGCCAAATGTAGACGGACACTTTAAACATTTCTAATTCTCATGGAAACAAAATGAACTGAGGGATTTTGTTTGTGAGTTTCAGGGTCGTAAACCGGGTTACTTCTCCTTCCTGGATCCCTTCTCCCCGGCTGTCTGGCTCTTCATGCTGTTGGCCTACCTCGCCGTCAGCTGCGTCCTCTTCCTCGCCGCCAGGTAACTCACCTGCGGCTGTTTGTGTGTGTGTGTCTATCACCTATAAATAAAAGCTAATCACAGTTTTGATTTTTTGTTTTCATATGTGTCCCGAGGGTTGGAGGAGAGGTTGTGGGTTTGTCTGTGGAACAAGACAAAACAACATGACTGTCTTGTTTCTTTCTGTTGTTGTTTTTTAGTCTTTGTGTCTGCCTCTCTGCTGAATTCCTCTCTGTCACTCACCCTTTTCTGTTTCTTATCTGAACTCTGAGTCAAGCTGAGTCTCAGCTGTATTACATGGAAACACTTTTTAAAAACTTCCTCTTACAAAATCATTTTAATACAAGGTGTACTCGGTAGTAAAAGTGCTTTGTAAGAGCCCCTCACATAGTGCAGCCAATTTACTAATGAATGTGTTTCACTGTTATTTGAAGAATTGAATTTAAATTAGAATTATTATGGCGTCTCAGTGGAAGGAGCTCCCTAGCCATGTTTCCATCTACTTGTCATGCGAAGTTAAAGCGGACTTGACGCAAAAATGTGAGAAATGTGAAATAGCTGCTTCGGAGCGAATAAACACTTATAAAGACATCTGAGTTCCAAACCAGAAACAAAACCAGTCGCATGAACCTGATGGCCACTGATGTTAGAAAAAAACGTAGAGAAACTTATTCGACTAAAGTGTTTCCATCTCCCATTAGCATTAGCTCTTTTTCGACAAAGGCAAAAACCACGTCAAAGCAAGCGTGAAAACTTTTTTGCGAAATTAAAAATTTCTTTTCAACCTTCTCTAACGCAACCGTGTAACTTCTGTACCGTGTCAGTGTTGGTGAAAGCTCGACTCAGAGGCTTCTTCTGACTTTTGTAACAGAGTTTTTCTCCCTCCCCCCCTTCAGGCTCAGCCCCTATGAGTGGTATAACCCTCACCCGTGCCTGCGGGAGCGGCGGGACGTCCTGGAGAACCAGTACACGTTGGGGAACAGTCTGTGGTTCCCAGTGGGCGGCTTCATGCAGCAGGGATCAGAGATCATGCCCCGGGCTCTGTCCACCCGCTGCGTCAGCGGAGTCTGGTTGGTACCGAGGAGGTGTGGGTGGGGTGTTATGGAAAGGGAGGATTAAATAACACCAGCCTGGAAACCTGGTATCCCCAAATCCTTCAATCTGATGAGGGTTTTACGTTTATTTCAGCTTCAGAGAATAAACGCGCCGAATCAAGCAGCAGATGAAGCTTTTTTGGTCTCCTTCACTCATCAGCTTTCTTGATTGCTGCTCACTATATATCTCGCTTTTCAGACTCAGTATAATTGCTTTTAACATCAGGAAAGAGTACATAACAAACATTTTTATTTCTTCCCCTTTAACCTCAGAGAGATCAAACAGGTTAAATCGCTTCTCAAAACATTCAAGCTTTTGGGAATATTTCATGTTTTTTCATTTTCTACTTTTAATATTTTGTGGTCCCTGCGTTTTATCATTACATTTCTTCATTTAACTTGTATTTGCTTTCATCTTTAATATTTTTCCTACCTTTTCCGTGGAAAGCACTTTGTAACTCCTCACGTGCCTCCGTTGGCGTTCTGAAATCTGTAGTTCTTCGGGAAGCTTCTGGTGTCCGTATATTTACTTTTTACAAACACAAAGTACACAGTAGACAGGAATGCAAACAAATGTATATCCCCCCTCTGTCCCCTCTGTCCAGCCCTCCCTCCTCAGGAACATTAGCTGAAGGTGAACAGATGGGAAACTGATGAAGTCAGATTCTCTTCTCGTGTAGTTTCCGCTCCTCTCATGTCCTCCGTCCTAATCCACCCAGCATCTGACCCTCATTTTTCCGCACAAACAGATTTTGCAGCAGCTCATAAATATGATAAACTGTGTGAAGCATTGTTCAGAGAGCTTTGCTTGGGTTGGATGGCTTTTGGTTGTGGGTTTTCAAAGTGTATTTTTGGTAAAGCTTTATTTCTTTGGGTCTGTTGTTTCCTAATCATGTCCTTATATATTCCAAAGACGTCTCCTGCAAAGAACTAGATTATATCCATATTAAAACTTTCTTTATTCATTTATCATTGGATATGTTAAATTAAATTTTTTGCATATTCAGGTGACCTCTATCTCTTTCATAATTAGTATAATTACTTCTCAGGAAATTATGGAAATCTAATCTTCTTTTGTTATTGTTGTTGTTACTGGTTAATTGGTGACTAAATTGCCCTGTGGGTGTGATTGTGAGTGTGAATGGTTGTTTTGTGTCAGCCCTGTGATGAACTGGCAGCCTGTCCGAGGTGTACGCCTCCTCTCGCTCGGTGTCCAGCCCCCCCGGCGACCCTGCCCGCGATAAGCGGTTACAGGAATAAGAGAGAGTGGATGGATGTTTTGTCAGTGGCCAGCGACATGTGTGCACAAGTGTTACCATCTGTCTACACGACAAGCTCATGTTTACACCGTGATGAGCTATCATTACCTCGTCTACCACAAATATTCCCTTCAACAAGAAGAATATTCAAACCAAACCTCCGACCTCCTGCTGGTGGTGGAGAATGAAATTACGATTACTCTCCCAACTTGTGTTCTTCCTTCCTCATTCCCAGTAACTGCTGTCAGACAGATGGTGGAGTGATGCTGGAAGGACTGGAGGGGCCATCAGCATCTCTTCTCTGACAGCTCTCAGCCTCGCCGGGCACTTAGCCCCATAAAAACTCATGACGGCTGTGGCACAAACTGCAACATGCTGAGTTCTGTCTGTCTGTTTATCTGCCTGTCTGACTGACATGTTGGCTGAGAAGCTGGTGGGGCTGAAGAGGTCAAACTCCAGCAACACTCGTAGTGTGAAGAACTGCTTTTTACCACTTTATTTTATTTTTTTTACCTCCTGTTGATCTGCACACGTTCCTGTTTGTGTTGTCTTTTTTTATTAGTTACACAAATGACATTAGCTCCAAGCACACTGTTGCTTTTCATACTGGTGCATTTATTTAGATCTGTGCATCATACATGTCTAGTTCCTGGACGTTAATCGCACCTTTCCACCAATCACAATCAAGAATTTTCTCACTCTCCTCACCTCTATTCTCAGCATCCTCTCTCCATCTTTTGCTCCTCCTCCCTCCATCTCTCTCTCTCTCTCTCAAACCTCTCCTCCCGTCCTAATTCCCTTGCTCATCACTTCCGTCTCATTTCCTCTGCGGTGGAGGTGTCCTGCTCCTCTCTGCTGCGGCCGGGGTTCATGTTTAGGTTGATGATTTTTAACTAACAATCCTGACGTTTCCTGCAGTGCTCTCCATCTGTCCCTCTCCTGCCTTCTACTCACAGCTCTTAATGAAAAGGGGGGGAAAAACACAGGGATGGTTTGAAAGTTTTTCAGGGTAAATAAAGGTTAAAGCTGTTTCTTTTCTCTGGTCCTCTCAGGTGGGCGTTCACCCTCATCATCATCTCGTCCTACACGGCCAACCTGGCCGCGTTCCTGACCGTCCAGAGGATGGAGGTTCCCATCGAGTCTCCAGACGATCTGGCCGATCAAACCAACATCCAGTATGGGACCATCCACGGAGGATCCACCATGACCTTCTTCATGGTGAGACAAATTTTAGATTTACTTTTTTGGTTTACTTTAGCGGTTGTGTTTTTAACGAATCATCAGCAGTTCTGACAGTGAAATAATCATTTGTCATTTATAACAAAACAACGTAAAAACAATGTAAAGACCAGTGTTGGGCATGTGATATTTCAGTTTTTCTTTTTTAATACATTTGCAAAAATTTCTACATTTCTGTTTTTTTCTGTCAAGATGGGGTGCTGAGTGTACATTACTGAGAAATAAAATGAACTTTTTTGATTTTTGGAAAATGGCTGCAATGAAACAAAGAGTGAAAAATTTAAAGGGGTCTGAATACTTTCCGTACCCACTGTACGTTACTATATTACTTTCCAGTGTTTCCCACAGAATAACAGCGGGGGGGGGGGGTATTCTAACTTTGGACAGGTTTGTGCAGCGGTGTTCACGAGAGAGAGGGAGAGAGAAACAGGCCAGGAGGTGCTGCACGAATATATGCTCCTCAGTACGGCATTTTAATCAAAAATGATTTTAAATACGCCTAGTAAAAATTTGGAAAATCAATATGTGGCGCGTCCCCGTTGATGATTATCCAAATTATAGGCTAATTATGGGAAACACTGCTTTCCCTACCACCCCCTTCACCCCCAAACAAAGCGTCTCTCCCCCGACTTTTTAACTAACATCATATCCATATCAGCAGCAGGAGTGTGGTTCTTACAGAGCATATAGCCTGGGCCTGACGTTTCTTTACACCACCAGCTGAAATAAAAAAATAAAGCAAGTAAATCCCGACTTTTAAACAGCGGTTTTACTGCACATGTAGTTTATAAGAGCAGTATTCAGTAGTTACAAAACGTTAACGCCACTCTCTCCCGACGAGTCCAAGCATCAGTGGCAGCAGCTGCCGGAGTTTCTTTCTGTGAGTTCCACGTCGCTGTGCTGCTTCAGCAGATGCTTCAATAAATCAGATGTAGAAATGTTCGTGGTTGAAAGCTTTTTGCTGGTCACACAGAGTTTACAACAGACGACAATGTTCTTTGCATCTTAGACTGTGACACAATAATGGCAGTAGCTGCTTACAGCTGTGGACAGAACGCCTCTCCCCCTCGTTTTACATTCTTCATTTAGTGTTTGGCTCTCAGCGGACAAGAACAACAAAGTCCGGTCCCGCTGAGCTGTCGTGGATTTACATCAAAGATGTTCAGTAACAGTAACGCAGCGTTACTTGCCTTATTAACTAGTAATAATATTACCGTTTTAGAAAAGTAATTAGTTACACTACTTAGTAATATATTTTAATACTAACAATGGTGAAGACATCCCCTTGGGCTCAGGAAAACTATGACTCCCATTGGAAGTCGATTTTTGTAGACTAAACTTAAACTTCATTTTACATTATACAGTGTAACAGTACAATTCATTTAATATTTACTGGGAAAACAATCAATAATGAAAAGAATGCGTCTTATACAGATGCATATGGCACCCTTTAGAGTCTGTATGAGATGCACAGGGCTGCCAGAAAGCCTTCAGGGCGTCAGGTGAGAATACAGTGCGAGAAAGAGCGGCGGTTCAAACAAACAGGACTTTGACCCAGGAGACGTGGTTTGAGTCCCGTGTGAAACCAAATGTCAACATGAACTTCTCGTGTGTGTCACACTCCAGAGTAATATCAGTCAAACTGGGGTTATTTTATGTATTTATCCTGTAAATCAGTATCTGCTGCTGAACTGGCAGTGTGTTTTCATTTAAAGTGTAATAAGCCCGTCCAGACGTAAGTTAAGTCATGATCTCGCAGACCCCCCCCTCCTCAGTGTGACATGAAACTCACTGTTTTGGATGGCCTTAACTGAACCTATAGAAGAGGTGGAATAAATACCCACCCCGTCTCCACCCCTCTCTCCTCCAGAACTCGCGGTACCAGACGTACCAGCGGATGTGGAACTACATGTACTCCAAGCAGCCCAGTGTGTTCGTGAAGAGCACAGAGGAAGGCATCGCCCGCGTCCTCAACTCCAAGTACGCCTTCCTGATGGAGAGCACCATGAACGAGTACTACCGCAGCCTCAACTGCAACCTCACGCAGATCGGAGGACTGCTGGACACCAAAGGATACGGCATCGGCATGCCTCTGGGTGAGTGGAGGAGGAGCCGGCTTATGATGTCTCTGCCACATACAATAAGACAAGTTTAGACAGTTCAGAGAGGAAGGAAAGCGAAATGGAAGCTTTGGAAGTCAAACTTCAGCGACAGTGTCACAAAAGGCTGATCGGAGAACACTTGAACTGGTTGAAAAACTGCCAAATTAATCTATATCATCAATAAACTTAATTTGACAAACTTGATGCCAAGACAAACAGCAAGCAAGCTGCTGCAAGTCTAAATACATATCCTAGATTTGTACCAAAGACCAGTGATCATATGAATGATTCTAATTCCTGTGGAAACCGTTTCTATGATGTAGGTGAACAATGGTATTTTGTATGATATCCATATCTTGTGTCTGGTCAGCTTTCTTCATGCCAGGCATGAAAGAAAGGACAGAAATGCAGGTTTCAGACAGTAAGAGGTGTGTCCGAGAGTCGTAACTGAAAATTAAAGTGCGCAAAGTCTGAAGGCATAGAAACGTCTGCTGCTCACCTGAGGTGCTGTGTGTTTGGAGGGGGTATAAAGCTGGGAACTTCAGTCACAAAGCTGCAGAGACTAGCTGGTCTTTGCCAGACCAGGCTGTACAAAACAGGCACTTCTCCCCTTCATTCAGAGATCAGCATTTCTTCCTACACTAACAAAAAAACTATCCTATCACTGCTGGCTACGGTCAGATAAGTGTTCTCTGTGGAACTTTTAAAATTTAATAGATTAGTTGACGCTTTTTTCCAAAGCAACTTACAATTGCTATATATTTCAGAGGTCCCACGCCCCTGGAGTTGTCTTGCTCAGGGACACAGTGGTGGATGTGTCACAGTGGGAATCAAACCATAGGTATGCGGCTTATCCACTGTTCCATTGATCTTAATGTCCCCAGACAGAGATGCCCTGACATACGTCTGCATCACTGTAGCAACCACTGGAGGTCAGCTGTTGGTCTTTACGAAGGTTTGTTTGTGTGCACGGGACAGCCAGGGAGTCACATGCTCATGTAATCCTTCACTGATTGGTTCAGTGTGTAACTGACTGGTTTGGATCGATTCTCAGTTGATGTTTTCCAGAAATAAATTTAAAACTAGAAATGCACCTGTCCGTTGTGGATGAAGCAACAAGCAGCAGCGAGCTAAGTTAGCTTAGCACAAAGTAGGCCTGGGCGATATGGACCAAGAAGTCATTCTGTTTTAGCAGCTTACTATTTGTAGTAATTTAGCTTGTATCTTATTTTACCATTTTAATTATACTTGATTTTCCATCTTAAGTGTCACTCACTCACCGCCTCCTTCAGTTATCTTCACACTCACAGACCTAACATGTTCTGCTGCAAACACGCCAGCGTGCCAAACTTCTTGCCGTCTCTCCCTGCATGTCTTATCCGGTGGCTTTCTCCATCGGTAGTAGGATACATTGTGTAAAGTCTTTCTTCCACCCACAGCGGCGCCACATGTTGAGGAGGCGTGTTGACAACATAGCCTATCAAAACAAAACCAACGTGGTAGCTTACGAATTACATCTGCACTATTGTGTTCACCGTCACTTTACCTGGTCCGTGCTTGTAAAATATCCCCCGTGTTGATTTTAGAGACTTTGAGAGTAGACGGCTGCGTGCAGAGGCAGAGGGAGGAGTGGGGCTGTGAGGTGAGGGAGAGAGACGAGCAAACGCTGGCAGGACTTTATAGAAACATATTAATTAACTCAACATCAAACTATATCGGTATAAACGGTATTGTCTAATTTTATATCTCTTTTGAAATGATATTGGGATACCTCATTATACAGATATACCGCCCTGCCCTAACACAAAGACTGGAAACGGTGAGCCTGCCTCCAGAAGTCGTTTAATCCACACAAACAAAATGTGCTAAAAGTGTAAAAACAACAGTTTGCTGTTGTACAGGTGGTTGTTTTTCTGGTCCGGTCTTTATGCTGAGCTTTATGCTAAGTTAGCAAGCTGCTGGTGGTATCATTGTTCTCTCCTAACTCTTGGCAAGCAAGCAAATTTCCCAAAATCCTTTCCTTTTAATCTTGTTGTAAACTCTAAATTCGGGCCTTGAGTGATTTCTGGATTTTAGAGTAAGATTGCAGCTATTGCCGCCAGATGTTTCGATTCCTCCTGGAAACGGAGCACTAACCTGCCATTGTGTGTATATTTTCTACTTTGTTTATGTGAAGTGTAATTGGGTTTAGTCTTCTGTCACAGCACATATTGTTTGTAATATATTGAGGCTGCGGTACCTTTTTTCCGTCACCTTGTGTGTCGGTTCTGTTTTAGCAGTTAACCAGGTCATATTCTTTGTGCAGCTGCTGTTCTTGGCAAATTAAATCCATCCTGATTCCAATTTGGCCTTGGTGTGCTTTCGCCAGTGTCAGGCCTCGCCTCATCATCTGCTTCAGACTTGTTTCTGGTGTTAAGTGTTAGTGCATAGATTAGCATAGTTAATGGAGGAAGGAGGAACAGATGTGGAGAGAGGAGAGGGAACAGCGGGAAGACAGAAAAAAAAGGAGTTTTTGGGAGACCGGCCTGTCAGTCAACCTGCCTGTTAAGTGGTGAAAATAAAAGCAGCAGAATCACCCAGGTGCCCCTGTTAGACGTCGTCTCCCATGCTGACCGCGCTGACTGACAGTGAGCGATTAGCATCAGCTTAAAAAGGAGAAAATGAGAATTTGCAGCTGCCTTAAATCTAAAGCCAGTTTGGTTTCTGTGTTGTGGGAGTTCAGTTTGTTTCCATCATCATTCCCTAAACTGATTATTAGTGTAACCATCACAACAAAAGGCCCCCTAACCCTGATGAATTAGCAAGTTTAACCGAAACTCAGATCTTTGCCTAAACATAACCAACTTTTAAAGCAACAGGCAAATGATCTCGTCCACTGTCCCTCTTAAGGGCAGTTACAAACTACACGTTTTGTCAAATAATTTGTAGGATTTGTTGGTGTTGACTGCACATGAGAAGCTTTTGTTCCCTGACTTTAGACTTTGTAAAACAGAAAGAGGCACTGAGTGAAGGACAGACTCTGGGAACAAAAGTCCCTTAACCATCCTCCATCCATAACCAGCTTCATGAGGAGGTATGAAGGAGTATAGTTAAAATAGACAACAACAGAAACACAGCAAACACAACAATGGACACGACACTGATGACAGATAATAACTAGAGAGAAGATAAGATTGACGGGACCTAAACGTCAAAGATGAGGATAAAAAGTATCTTGCACATATCAGGTTTATTGCCTGTCAGAGTTTCACATAAAGAAAAACTAAGCATAAAGCACAGCAAACAGAAAGAGTCTGAGATCTCGGTAGAAGAATGAGAAAAATCTGAAATCATTTCCATTCCCTGAAGTCCGTCATACCTTTGGAAATATGCCAAACGAGGTATTTAGCTTCAATGGGAAGAGTTCTGTTTCCAAAGAAAAAGGCACATATCAATTATGTTAAGAACAAAAAGACAAAAGGAAGTCAGGATGTGACAAATGAATCATCCTGAATCTCTAAAATATGGAGTATCTCACCAGTAAAAGAGTCATAATTTTGTCATAGACTTAGATTTTACCTTGAAAAACACCCGTACACTTCCTGCTGTCTGTCATTTTGTGAAAGTCAGTGTCACTTTTTAATGGAATAAGAAAGAAGATGAATGGGCGAGAGCGGCAGGGAGGAAGTGAGGACGAGGTAAGGATGAAACCGTGATAATTTACAGCTGTAGTGGACAAAATATTAACGACAGGTACCCATATATTATATCATAAGATAGACTCAAGAATTACCATAGAGCTGACTTTGGTATATTCATATGTCTAGAATTATTTACTATTATTATTAAAAATGCTCCTGCTGTACTGTGTCAACCCGTCCCCAAGAAATTGCTTTGGTGATGTAAACGTCTGCTTCCCATGCCAATAAAGCCCCGTTGAATTGAATTTATAGTCTACAAATTTATTTAGCCAGTTACTTTTTCTTAGATTATGTTCCCTGGCAAAATACTATTCTAGTGAATCATGGTGCAATGTGTTTGTACCGTACGTAACTCACGGGGAAACGGTCGTTGGATGGTGCCAGAGGGGGAGGAAACAGAAAATGGAAAGAATCACCGACAGCTTTTGTGACTAGTGCGAACATGTTCCTGGCCGGCTACTCTGTTACAAGCAACAGTAGTTCATAATCGCACACGGTGCCTGTATCTGAGATGTTTTGGCTGCTTTTTTGTGCAGTGAGAGGAAGTGGAGATGCTCTCATGCATCTTTGTTTACAGTCTGTTGCTAATTAATAGTAAACTTAATGTCTCGGAGACAGTGTTGGTGGCTGACGCCTGCTGCTGCTGCTAAACAAACATCAGTCAGCGAAACCAATGTTCTCACTCACAGAGGTCTGGCTTTAGATCTAAATATAGCAGAACACAGGGCTCAGGTGCAAAATGAGATTCAAAACAGCAGCGGGCATGTTTGATTTGTATAAAAGGTGCAGCTGCCGCTTCATGTCTTTCTCTGCTCTCTTAACATTTCTCACTTTATCAGCACATGTGCTCCCTGGAAGGAAAATGTCAATATAACAACCCACAGAGCCGTAAAGACCACGCTGTGCCTGTGAAGACCACGCTGTGCCTGTTAGTGCAGCTCAGCACATGTTTAACAAAGGAGAGGTGAACTGTGGGTTTTACTTTCTTTATTCTTCATAAACACACTGCCTCTTCAATAAATACGCACGCCGAATGTGTTAGACTTAGCAATCTGCAGACCTGCCTTGGTCATGTTAGAAAGTTCTTTTAGTTAAATATTAACTCACATTTTCCTTCAGTGGCATGTCTTTCTTCTTCTTCACTAGCACTTCTCTAGGAATCTATGGTGCATTTTCAAACTGCTTTGAACAATATATCAACAGGGAACTCATTCACTGGACAGTGTTGGTGATATTTCAGCCCCACAAACAGACCCAAGCTAAACACGTGTTGTCACTCTTTTTTGCTGTCTTGTTGATTGTTACCCAAAGATTTACATCAAGATTGCTTTCTCTACAGTTCATGACCAGCAGTAGAACTAAATAGTAGTTTAGCTTTTGAATTCATGTTAAAATCCCACATCTACTATCTGCTGCTAACGAAGCGACTCTGGTGGCTCCGTTTTCATTCACACCACAAACAAACTGCACCAATCGAGACCGCTTGAAAAGCCGCTCCTGCACTCTGATGTGGCTCATTTGTGGTTTGAGAGCAATAAACTACTATTAAATCCATATGTTGCACTAAAGCAGTTGGCCTGAGCTTGTGTCCTAATCTGTGTATTAGCTGTTCCCCGATATGATGCGAGTGAAACTGCAGTAACTACCCTCCCGTTACACTACGGGAAAAATCCCCAAACCACCACAAAGAGACGCAAATGGCCACGATTGATTGGACAGTTTTGGCAGTGTCGTTTTGTGTCTCTTTCAGTCTGGGGGTCTTTTTCCTATGTAGTAGAGGTAGGGGCCTTTTACATGTCTGTGGACCCATTCTCTTGTTATTCATCCATGCAGCCACACCAACATGTACCCTGCTGTATTCTGCTGAGTGACTGAAGCTAAGCAGGTTGGGCCTGCTGGAAGAGGTGTTGGTGGGCCAGTAGGGGGCAGTCTTCCCTCTGGTCCTAACAATAAGATCTCTATGTCTCAGTGCAATGATGGGGAGGCTGTGGGAGCTGCCATCTGACTCATTGTGTTCCCATGGAACTTGTCGCAAAGAGTATAGGGGGGTTCTCTGGCGTCCTGGCAAAAATTCCCAACGTGGCTTTCTCCATCTGGCGAGCTAATGATCCAAGTTTCCTTTCCTATCCACCTCACACTGATGCGTGGTGAGCGTCTGGTGCAAACTGGCTGCCATGCATCATCCAGGTGGGTGCTAAACATTGGGGGTGGTTGTGATGAGTCCTCCCCCTTCGCTCTGAAGCGCTTTCAGTATCTATGATAATCGCTCGGTCAGGACCAGAACTTAAAGGCAACGATGGATCATTTTTGTTTGTTATGGACTAAATGAACAAAAGTACAGATGTGAAAGAGACTCAAGACTCAGATCACACTGGATTTCCTGGGGCTTTCCTCCATTTTTGGTGGTGACAGTTACCTACTGTCCTGTCCAGAGAAAACCCAATGATGACCCATTAAAATCACTTTGTATAAAGTATAAAAAGGCGCCCTCCTCTTCTAACAACGTAACAAATCTGAATGCCTCCTGAGTCGGTGCAGTAGAGTACTTGTGTCTACATTGAATTCATGTTTGTTTTCCTGTTCTCCCTCCTCAGGCTCTCCGTACAGAGATGAGATCACTCTGGGGATCTTACAGATGCAGGAGAGCAACAGGCTGGAGATCCTGAAGAGACGCTGGTGGGAGGGAGGACAGTGCCCCAAAGAGGAGGACCACCGAGCCAAAGGTGGGTTTTGCAGGACTCCTTCGTACAGAACAGATACAAGTGAATGCCTCTTTCAGGATTTATTGAGCTGGATGCTAATTGACCCCGATGGTCAGGGCCAGATCAGGCTAGCGTCAGTCCAGGCCAAGCAACAGGCCACGTGTAGGCGTTTTGTAGAAATATATATAATATAGTTAAAATCAGCCAAGTGTCACTTCCATAATGAAAGCAACGGGAATAAATATATCATTTTTGTGTTTGTTTTGCACCTGCCGTTTCCTCAGAGCTCTGTTTATCATCATGAAGCTCTGGTAGCTCTGACAGAAAACGGTATCCAGGTCTTTATTTTCCATAAATAAGCATCTGTAATCTAAAACATAGAACCAGGTATGATGTGGTGAGGGCAGCCCTGATGGTATGTGTTCTTTTTTAAACACTAACCACATCCTTTGCTCGTGAGGATATCTGTAATTTCCCAGCATTTAGTTGCACTTTGCGACTAGGCTTTTCTCCTTTTAATGCGCTCCCTCTCAGCTCCCTCGTTATCTCTCTCTCTCCTTTGAATCTCCATTTCTTCTGCACACTGCTCGGCCACACACACACACACACTTCCTGTACTGACTAAACGTCCTGTGTTTCTCTTTGATTTATCCATTTCATGCAGCATTATTAACACTGGCCTGACACTCCAGGTATGATGTTCATCATGTTCAGCATCTTAGGGTAGCACGTTAACAGCTGAGGCTGATGGGAATGTCATTATTTCTGCAGGTATTTGGTCATAAATAAGTGTTGACCGGAGGATGACACTATGAAAAGTCAGAGGATCACCAAATTTATCACAGTTCATCCTGAGGGGAGCGTGAAGGTCTGAACCACGTTTCATCACAATCCATCCAATAGTTGTTGAGATATTTCACCCAAAACCACAAATGCCAATCTCATAATGGTGCTAGAGGAAAAGTCAAAGAATCACCAAAGTCAGTTGGATTCATCCTCTGGGAACCATGAATGTCTGTACAAAATCTCAAGGCCATACATCTGATAGTTAATATATTTTAGCCAGAATCAAAATGGTGGATCAACAGACAGACATGGTACTGACATCCCTTGCACAGCCTGGATAAAAACAATATTTTTTTCCTAAGGAGTCATTGTCATTCTCTCGTTGCCTCCGGCTTGCATTATGTTTCATTCGGTAAAAAAATGAGACAAAACATTAAAACAGCCTCTCTGATGCAACACAACAGCCATCATTTTATCACCCGGTATGTCTTTTGTCAGCGTCCGCATTGATCACGATGACTGGATTCTTCCTTTATTGACACACACACACATGTTTTTTGTTTCTCCTGATGTTTCTCGCCGTGACAAGATGAGGCGGTTTCTGTTCATCGACTTTGTCCACTCGTATTTTACAGCCCATCATAATGGGAATGGGAGTCCTGTCTGAGTATTGATCAGCTGCTCGCTGTCATCTGTTCGTACAGCTTTCTTCATTCCCAGAACAAAATGATGTGTGTGTGTGTGTTTGAAAAGCCTGAGAAAATCAAGCCATTAAGATCCCGTTAAGACCCATTAAGACTAATCAAGTGGCTCTTTGTTTCTGATAGCGCAGTACAGTTTGTGTGTGTGTTGATGCTCCCTGTGCCCCAGATGTCCTCACAAAGAAAGAAATGTACTGTAAAGGAAATCCTCCAAATGAAAAGCATTTCAGTCCTTTCTCTGAAAATCATGAGATCAGGAAGTGTGTCGTGATTGTTATGAGCTGAGGGTGGTATGAAGTCTAGATGTTTGGGGTTTTTTTGTTTCCTTTCTGATGTATTTCTTTCTCTTTTATTGGAGAATTAACTATGTAAAGTAACACCAAACAAGAGGAGACAAGTAGCTTTTGCTCAGTTATTCCTTTTCCACTTTCACAATGATTTTTTTTTTAACCTAAAAACTAAAAAGATGGAAAGATGTTTATATATATATATATATATATATTGCTAACTGGACATAGCTTAACTTACAGTGTTGCTTAAATCTGCAAACATTTATGCATGGTTGAAACTTAGCAAGCTAGCACTAAAGTTTGAATGTTTACTAATCTTATATTTTTAGCCACACTAGCAGCACGTGGCTCTGTCTCTGCCAGATGCTCAGTCGCTTCACCACATCATAGTTCAGACATGTTCTCCTCAGGATAAATTATAATAACTACATAAATATTTGGTGATCCTCTGAATCCAGCGCCTTCACCAGGTCGAACATTTAATTTGTCAATTTGTTTGGTTTATGACCAAGTATCTGCAGAACTAATAATATTCCCATCAGTCTCAGCTGTACTTTGTGTTACCTGCTAATTAGAAAATGTTAGCATGCTAAAATGCTAAACTTTGATGGTGAACATGATAAGAATCATATCTGCTAAACGTGCATGTTAGCATTGTCACAGTGAGCATGTTAGCATGCAGAGTCTCTAGCGCGGCTAGAAGGTCAGTTCAGACAGAGTTTGTGTTTAACAGATACTTTACTGACTGTGCCATGGACTGAGTATAAACGTGGACTATCTAACCCAGCTCCCCAAAAACATCAAGACAAACAAAATTTCTGTTACTTCAGTCATTTTGGACTCACCTCCTCCACTGTAGTGCCCAGCACCGGAGCCCCCCAGGGCTGTGTGCTCAGCCCCCTCCTGTTCATGCTGTACACCCACGACTGCATCCCCCAACATGGAGAGAACCCTGTTGTGAAGTTTGCGGATGCCACCACCATCATGGGACGGATTTCAAACAACGATGAGACTTCATATCGGGAGGAAATTCATAATCTTGCAGAGTGGTGCTCAGAGAACAACCTACCGCTCAACGTCAGCAACGTTAAGGAGCTGATCACTGATTTTAGGAAGAAGGAGATAAAGACACACACTCCTGTCTACATCAGTGGTGCTGAGGTGGAGCAGGTGAACAGTTTCAGGTTCCTGGGAATCAGCATCCCAGAGAACCTGACGTGGTCGTCTCACATCTCCACACTGGTGAAGAAAGCTCAGGAACGACCATTTCTAGAGGAATCTAAAGAAGGATAAATTCCCACGGCAAGTTCTTGTCAGCTTTTACAGAGGAGCAACAGAAAGCATCCTGACTGGAAACATCACTAACTGGCATGAGATGTGAACGGCTCGGGACCGGAGGACTCTGCAGCGGGTGATTAAACCTGCTCAGAAGATCATTGGTACCCATCTCCTGAGCATCAGTGATATCGGTGAGATGAGGTGCCTGCAGAGCCCAAAGGAAACTAAAGGACAGCACCCACCCAGCCACAGGCTGGTCACCCTGCTGCCTTCTGGGTAGAGATATAGAAGTTTCAGCTGTCACACCACCAGACTTTTTCTCCCAGGCTATGAGACTCTTAAATTCAAATTCATCCTCGGCACTGCTCCTCTGATGATAGTTTATTTCTGTTTACCATTTTTGATGTATTTCTTTTTTTCTGCTTTTGATATTTGCTGTCTGCTATGGAGCATAAGGGAGTTACAAAGCTCCATTTCATTATATAACCTGTTATATTGTGACAATAAATGCACCCACCTACCTACTTTAGGTAGTTTTTATCATGCAGTTCAAGTGTTCATTTTTCTGATAAGTTTGCTTTTAATTCGTTATTTGATGCTATAAAACATTATCATGGCATCATGATTGACAGCTGAGCTCTGCGTGGGATTTGGATGTATGGTTGGGACGTCGATACCGCGGCTCCAAACCTGATCTATACTGCACAGGCTCTGGCGCTGGCTCTGGCTCTGGCAGCGCTCTTAGGATATTTTGGCTTCATTTGGAGACGTGACGTCCATCTTTATATACAGTTATGCACAGACATTAGCTGCACCGCCTCTAAAACACACAGCATGGTTTGCTTGGTAGATTTTGTTAATGTCTTCAACAGATTTTTTACATTAGAGTGATTAAATGGGTTACTGTTTTTAGTAAATCCACTTTCCCTCAACCTGCCTTGACTACTTCCACATCAGTTAGTGTTTCTACATTTACCAGAACTCAGACTATGTTGTGTGGAAAGCGTTTAATGGGAATAACAAAGAAAAGTAATGATTATGGTAATGCCAAGTCACAACAGACTGTTTTGTTGAGGCACAGACTGAATTAACAAATCATACATGTTAGAATATGACTTTAAAATAAATATATTTGTACTGTCCACAGTTTATGTGTTGTATATAGTTTGGCAGCCAGCTAAACTCCTTTCTAACATCAAGACTAGTGTTGTAGTCAAGACCAAGACCAGTTCCCCACATTACATTACAAATGTGGAACGAGATCACAGGTGCTTCTAAAATTGATCTGAAAGATCCACATTCCCATTAAAACACCCACATACAAACACTAAGAGCTGAAATCAACATAAGCATCTTTATTCAACGCTCCTTTTCCATGTTTACCATCGCAGGTCAGGGGGGGCAGTCATTAACGGGAACAACACATGTTTAATTAGGGTTATTGGTTGCATTTGAAGCAATACGTTTTACATCCAATCAAAGTTTGGATGACAACGCAAAAGCAATTTATTGATATTCCCAAAGTTATGGTCTAGACTGGTCTAGAAATAAAAGTCCTCAATGTCCGAGACCGAGACAAGACCGAGTACAAATGCAGTCGAGTCCGAGACGAGACCAAGACCATCAAAAAGTGGTCTTAAGACCGGTCTCGAGTACTACAACTGTAATCAAGACTCTGAAGACAGTTGGTCTCTTGTCCACAGGTTTAATGGCGTTGCAAGAAAAGGTGAAACTACTACAGAGATACATAATATGCTAACTCTAATATGAATATGGCAGATTCTGATATCAAACTTCACAAATATAAAATTGTCCCAAAATAATAAACTCAGAGGTTGTAGATAACAATAAAGAATCAATCCATACTCACGATGCTGCCAAAGGCGTAAGATGTCTGCAGATGTCGCTGGATTAGCTCAGAGGCATCTTACAACGACTGCTGTCTGTGCCATGCTCACTTTCTCCCTAAACAACATGATGTACTTCCTTGTTTCTTAAAGTGACCACAATGAAATATAGGAACACATAAAGAAATAGTTTTAGAAATAATCGAAACAGGGTTTCATTAACTTAGTTGTCACTCTACTGTACGTTACTGTGTTTATGTGCGTTCCAGGTCTCGGCATGGAGAACATCGGCGGGATTTTTGTGGTCCTGATCTGCGGCCTCATTATCGCCGTCTTCGTCGCCATCATGGAGTTTGTGTGGTCGACTCGCCGCTCCGCAGAGACGGACGAGGTAAACCTTCATCATCCTCCTCCTCCTCCTCTTCCTCTCTCGTCCTCCTCCTCCTGCCCCGCCCCCGGCCTCAGCCTCAGCTCAAACACCTCAGTAGGTCATCCGCCTGTGTGTCTGTGTGTGTATGATGATCAGAATGTGCTTGATTCAAAAGTTCATACAAAAAGTCACAATTTAAGCTCTTCCAGCCTGCTCACTGACTCCATCATCAAACCCATGTTGTTGCTGGTTTTTTTCTTCAAAATCAAAGACCTCCGAATTATAATGGAGTCCCAAACATAGGTGTCAATTACACTGGGGACACTGGGGACACTGGGGACGTGTCCCCACCACTTTTTGAAATGGCTGATTTTGTCCCCATCACTTTTTTAAAGCATAATTTGTTGAAAAACAGTCTGAAATATAGCTTACAATTAAATAACAAATGAAAATGCCTTTAGAAAGGTTTATTTGCTCATGAAGAAAACATGCAGTGCAATTAAAATATAGAAGAAACAAATGTGCATTGTCCAAAAGAAGTAATTAAAGCCAAAAAGAAACCAAGCGACTGATTAGAAATCAGATGACCCAAAAACGTGCAGCACCAATCGGCAACTTTAACAACTTTTTGACACAGTTTCTTTTAGGCCACTTTTTCCGTTCTCTCCCTGTGAACATGACAAAAGAGGAGAGAAGACTAAATCATGCCTGCATGTGTGTTGCCTCAGCAGGGAGGATATTACAGGAGAAAAGTTGATCTACCGGAGAAACAGATCTGAAAGCCTGAGAGCTTCTGTTATATATTTTGTAATGTCACGTGCTGCCTGTGTTTCCTTTTACATAAATAATAACATTTCTACCATAAATTGGTGCAGAAACATTCACCAGAATGCAGGAAATGAAGTGTTTAATACTCCAAATTTCTTTTTGTCCGCACCATTTTTTAACACAAAGTGAGATCCTTGGTCAAAGTTTCCACATGTGTCTGGCAGAAGTTGGGGAAAATGTGAATACAATGGAGTACAGGATGGTACAAGTTTTAAATACCTTGTTTCTCCCCCAAAAGCATTGTGTTTATCCCAGAGGCCTTACAAATGTGTTGAACGCTAGATTTTCTACAGACAGTATACCACGACCTCCACTATGTGTCCTCGAGCAAGACACTTAACCCCTAGTTGTAAGTCGCTTTGGATAAAAGCGTCAGGAAAATGTTTTTATAATTCTTTTTTTAAAGGACTGTCACAGTTGTTGAGTCATTTTTTTATTGTTTGAACTTGGTGAAAAGCTGATTACTTGTCAGAGTATTAAGTAGAAAACTTTGATATGACTAACTGTTTGTGTCTAAATTAAAGCATGTTGCTAGATTGTTGTCTTTTACCAAATAGCTTACACCAATCGATCAGCTGTTTGACCCACAATAGCTCGTCTGTTGGATCGGATCACACGGGCCAGGCTTCGCTCCCCATGTGCATCTCTGGCCCTGTTGCTGTTCCTTCGTCTAGCCATCACAGTTTGACCCTCATCAGAGTCGCTCAAATCCTCACGTTTGCTCATTTTTTTATGTATTTAAACAAAGTCACACTAAACTTTTAATTCCAAATAAAAAATGCGTTCTTAGTATTAGAAGGTTGAGCTTTTTACTGACCACCTGTTCTGAAAATACGCATGTAAAAGTGTGACAGGATAATGAACTTTGCTATCTAGGATGTGAAAGCTCAATGTGTGAAAATCACTGAGAATGCAGGTGCAACCTTATACTGCCATCATCAGTGGAACAGACTGAAACTGGAGTAAAGAAATCGTGTTATGTTGCAGCACTTGTGCACATACACTAGATACAAACAAGTTGAGGTTCCCCTCATTAACACATTGGCTTCATAGCATGTAATGTAAAATATGTATTAGTGTGGCTTTAAAAAGAAGCTAAAAGAGACTTCAATGCTTCGAAAATGATTTAATTCCAGCCCAAACAGGAAGCTGTGCTTTGGGACAGAGTTGTATTTCTCTCTTTACTCGTATCTGTATTCCAGCCGTCTGGTGTGACCATTTATTCGTCCTCTGCAGATACAGTTTCTGACTTTCATTTGCTCTTCATTTATCTGCCATTTATTTGACTTTCGGCCCCAACAGTTTTTTATATGACAGATGATAGGACACACTCACACACACACACACACACACACACTCACACACACTCATACAATATTTACAGATAACACTAGTTTGAGGTGGGAAACTGCAGAGCATTAAGATAAAAACATCCAGAGCATAATGTGTTCACGTCTCGCTCACTCACACATTCACTCTATTTCCCCTTCATCATATGCGAAGGCACACATTTTCTTCCTCTCTCAAATTCAAAAGGGCTTTATTGGCATGATCATATCCAGATACAATATTGCCAAAGTAAGAATACTGATATTAAAATAAAAAAAAAACGTGTGTATTAATATTTAACATTGAGAAAATGTTAATGCTTTTAAAACCTGCCACAGCAGGTTTGTTATATTATTTCAGAACATGAGCATAAAGATTAAATGAATTAGTCTGAACACAAATACCAACATGATTAATACGAGGAAAGAAAAGATCTAAAAGAGTCTGATATCGACCTACTCAAGCAGTCTGTTTCCTTGTGTGGTGGCAACAGAGACAAACTGTCCTGCAAGAACACAACTTTGATTTCCACACTTCATTTTGGAGCAGTTATTAAACTGTGTGTGTTGGTTTGTGACTTTTGGGGTTCCCTGGCAGTGCACCTCTACAGCAGCTTCTGAACACCGTGTTGTCTTAGATGTGCGCTCATGTTTCATGTTTCTGTGTGTGCTCCTCTCTCAGGTCTCTGTTTGTCAGGAGATGCTGACGGAGTTTCGAAATGCCGTCTCCTGTAAGAAAAACTCTCGCCCCCGTCGCCGCCGGCCTCTGAGCAGCGCTGGGGGCGGAGTTCTGCGTCACCCTTCCCGCCTGGCTCTGGCCGCCCCGCGCCCCATACGTCTGGTCCGTGAGATGCGTCTCAGCAACGGCAAACTGTACAGCGGCGCCGGCCCGCTGACAGGCGGGTTGGCGGGCCTTGGGGGAGGTATGGGAGGAGGCCCTGATCTGGGCCCGGGGCCACAGAGGCTCCTTGAAGACCCACTAGGCGCCAACGCCACTACCGGCACGCCACCTCCTCCGGCGTCAGCCCTGGTGGCTCCTCCCGCTCCGCAGCGCAGCGTCCTGCAGGGCTGCAGCCACGTGCGAATCTGCCAAGAGTGCCGGCGGATCCAGAGCCTGCGGCCGGCCACACATACTCCTCCCCCACCTCCCCCCCCCTCCTCATCGTCCTCCGCCTCCTCCTGCTCCCGGATCCCTCCCTCCATGGCGACGCCGGGTCACCACCATCGCCACAACCCCCACCCCCACCACCACCTCCACTACCACCATGGCTCTATGTCGCTGCCCCGCCTCCCACCGCCGCCTCCTCCCATCCCAGCAGACAGAGCTGACAGCGACGGGGGCACAGCAAGCCCGCGGCGGGGCAATAACAAGCCGGCGCCACCGCCCCGGCCTCTTCCCCCTCCTAAAACGCCGACACGCCCACCTATGGACTTACTAGGGGGGCACGACTGAGCAAAAAGACGCTGTGTGGGCCGTCATCAGAGGGGTCAAAGGTCAGTGAACTTTACTTTTTGGCCCCAATGACCAGTCCAAACTGGCCTATCAGCAGGGGTGGATGGGAAAAACCATTTTGACCCATTTGCAGGGCCGTTCATAAAGACCCAGCCAGTTTCAATGGATCATACCAGTAACCTTTTCATAGGGGTGGACGGATTAAACCACTGTAAACCAAACCTTACATTTTGGATTAAACCAGCCGAGGTCTTTGGATCGCGGTACCGCAGCGGACGGACAAACAGGAAGTGCCTGCCAAATGGACACAATCCTGGGGTCTTGATTGTTTCGGCCACATTCAGTCCTCCACCTCTTGCCTCGGCCAATCATCACACTCCGTGCCAAGTGAGGAGGATTCAGAGACACCAAGAGAGAAAGGCTTGTGTTTACTGTTTGAATACTGAACCAGGTGTTTGTATAGAAGGAGACCAACACACACACACACACACACACACACACACGGTAGCAGCAGAGCAGCTGTACAGTGATCACGGTCACCTGTCCGTCGTTTGGACGTCTCTGGAGGATGTAGCTCTTATAAACCCTGTCGCTGTTTGTGCAGACTCCTGCTGACCTGACGTCTGGAAACGTGACCAACCGGTGCTGTGATCCACGAAGCAGGAAAACGGATGCATCACCTGAAGTGTACCGAGCTGTGCTGGGGTAGTTCTTCTTTTCCATGCAGCATCTAATTCACTAAGTAAAGGACGCACAATCAGAAATCTTAAAATGTCAGACAAAGTAAATCTTTCCTCACGAAGTTCATTATTTATATTTGTGAGAGGACCTTTGGTTTCGGTGTCTGGTTGAACAGTTTTAACAGTTTAACAGAGAGCCTATCAGAAACTAGTATTATCTCCTGTTTTTAAATGAATAGTTTCAACATTTGGGGCAATACGGTCAATCGCTTTCTTTCCAAGAATCAGATGTTCAGATGGATAACATGGTGTGTTTAGTACGGAGCAAGAGTGAGGAGGTGGTTAACCTAGCTTAGCATAAGGACAGGCTCCCCTTAAATTATTATTTTTGTACAGATTAAACAAACAACTTAATTAGTGCTCTTTAGCCAAGCTAGCAATTTCCTACTGCATCCATTCTTTATGCTATGCTATGCTAACCACGTGCTGATTATAGACTGTATAAAAGATCATACACACGTAGTCACTGTGACGTCCTCCGTTGGTAGACTACCGTTTTTAAGCCTTGAGTTTGGCATTTTGGCCGCTGCCATCTTGATTATTTGCAACCAGCAGTCGTGACGATAATTGGACATGACAGTGGCGCCAGCTAGCTTGGTTAGCAAGGTGATTTTAGCCGGGATGCTAATTTTGGCTTGCGAAAAACAGGCTTAAATTAAATGGTCTCTGTTCCTCTAAATGGGACCATAATTTACTAAATGAACATCATGCTGTGCTGAAGAAGACCTAAAACTAGCGACTGAGACCATAAACTCATCAGGAAAGTGTTTACTGAGGAAATAAATCAGCTGAGAAGTAGCCATATATCATTATTTCTATAGGGACTGGACTTCTTTTTGCAACCAGTGGAGCCGCCCCCTGCCGGCCGTTAGAGAGAAAGCAGCTTTAAGGTACTTTTGCATTGGCTTCCCTTTTTAGACCCGGAGGTTCCCGCTTGGTCCTGACATGAAAACCAAAAAACTCACTCTCACAAACAAAGAAAATGTGCGTATTTTCCAAAATGTTCCTAACTATTCCTTTGAAGGTTGAACTATTTGAACTGTTCACAAGCCGCCAAAGAACAAGGAAACATCATGCTTTGCCTTTTCAAAGTAAAAGTCATAAATCAATCATATGTAGCTAAAATATCTTAAAAGCAAGCTAAATCTGACAAGAATAGTTTTCACGCTCATGCCAGACTTGTGTTGAATAATTCAGCCAAATCAGCTAAATTTCTGGTCCGGCATTGGCCACAAATCTGGCAGCCATATCTGGGCCACAGCCAGTTTACGATTGGAAACACAGTGCTAAAACACAGCCGAGCGTGCTGACCGATCTAAAAGTACTTTTGTGAAGCCGAAGCCGACTGTCAGGGACTCTACGAAAAATATTCAGAGCAGCTCTTTTGGCTGAAGTGTCGTCTTTTTAGATGTTTTTGGGAGAGCAGGGGAGGACTTTTATTTTCTCATGGCAGATTTATATTTATTTAAACCTTCCTTTGTGAGATTTATTGTCGTGTGTTGTAAACTAATTTATCTTATATTGTGGAAATTGGTGGCTATTGTGACAATTTAAAGGTTTAAAGTGAGTACATCATCTCAAATTCAGTTAGTTTTTTGTGGTGAAGCAGGTTGTAGCAAGTGAAAACTGCTTTATAGTTTAGATTTTTGTTGGGGGGGGGCTGCTTTCTTTTTAAAAACTAAAACATAAGGTTCACCCCCTCTCACCAATGCAGCCATTTTCATACAGTCCCTAAAAGCAGAGGAACTACCTCAGTACAGTTGGGTGAATTTGTTTTTGTGCCTGTGATCAAAGTGCAGGTGTAATTTTCTTTTTCAAAACAGGAAGTCAGTGGAGCTCGGATACATACTACACACACACACACACACACACACACATTTATAGGTAAATTTGGAGGGCAAACTGCAAAAGAAAAAAACTAAATTTGTGATTGTATTTCCTGCCAACGAGTATTGCTTGTTTTCTTTGTTTTTTAAATTCCTCTTTTTCATGGTAACCTTGAGTCCGTTTAAACTGATGTCACGATGATTCGATCACCACGCTGGGATGTCGCAGTCCAAAAGACACCTCCAAGATCTGTACGTCAACAAATCGCATCGACTGATTACGCTACACAAGTGCTGATATTGTCAATTCCACATTCTTCACCGTGGCCCGCCTGCAGGGTCTGAACAACACGGAGCCAAATGGAAATCAACTCCTCCATTTTTTTATTGAAACACTTTGGAAACATGGTTTTGTTTAAGAGCAGTGCCTGTAGTTTTTGTTTGTTTTATTATTTGCTGTTGACATCTTCAGAAAATGAGCCACAGACGACGAAGTGTGTGTGTGTGTATGTGTGTGTGTGTGATATTGAATGAATCCCGGTGGTGCGTTGCATCGTATTGTCTGCTGTTTTATTTTATTTTTCGGCTCATCCCTCAGATTTGTACCAGCAGTGCTCAGCTCATCAGTAGGACAGAGACAACAGATGGATATTATTCTGATGATTCTATTGTTATCATTATTATTGATATTGACGTGTGGGGTGATTGTAGGAGGGGACCAGCCCTCTGATGTTCAATATATAGACAAGTTTGGAATAAAAAAAAACAGTCAATGTACCAAAAACACTGCTGTTCAGGTTTTTATTCATCTGACCTTTGACCTTTTCTTTAAACAGTGCCCGGGTTTGTACAATGACGTTAAAAAGTGAACAGGTGTGTCCAGGTGTTCTGACTGATCGGACATGGAGTTAGGCAGAGCTTCATCGTGCTCCTTAGGACGGTTCTTCACTGACTAAAGTGACCCGGAAGTGTTTAAGTGGCAGCCATGATTAGAGGGGCGAGTTCAGCGCTGACAAAATGTAGCAAAACAGAAACAGCCCTGTCGTGTACTCAAGCGCCCTGCGTTTTCCTGCCTTTTTAACCACGTTGTGTTTACAGACTGGTGGTTCAGGGAACACCTGTGACACGCCAACCAAACGTACCTCGAAGCCGGTTGAGGAACGTTGCAAGGAAACATGTCGTTCAACCCGAAAACATTGCAAACCGGTGCAAAACGTTTTGAGATTTTGGTCGAATTCTAAGGAAAGTTGTTTCAATGCTTCCTTTCTTATCTCCTTTAGCGTAGGATACAGCGGACTTTCCTTTACGAAAGGAGATTCCACAATTACTTGTGGCAGCAGAATTTAAAGCGACGCACGTTCTCAAACTCAAACAATAAAATCCGTCAGGCGTATTTTGCTAAATTCTTGCAATACATGACTGACAAGAATAACCACTAGTGTTAACTTTTTTCTTTATTGGACTCATTTATGATTCTTGAATAGGACGCTCACAATTTCCTTCTTTCTTTTAGTTTGGTTTCTTTTGCTTTGCTGTAATCTGATACTGTTTTAGCACCATTTTATGTTTCAAGAGTTGTATTTGAATTTTCTACAATAAAAAAAAGAAATCCGATGACCTAACGGATAAAGGACATCGATCAGTAAGTTACCATCGTCTATTTTGCCTTTTCTCTCTTATCCCATAACTTGTTTTGAACTGTCAACAATAATTGAAACCCGTATGCGAGCTGTTACTAATAAAATTATAAAAGTTAAAGGTGAGGATCAAGCTGGATGACCTCCTGAGGAAATGTAATGTATTATTTAAATACAAGATTTGGGATTCATGTTGATAAATCGGGGTGGGCAGGAGGCTGAGTGTCAGCAAGCATTCTCAGTGTGACAATCATTTAGATTATTTGGTGTCTAAAGGTGGACAACGCAGCGGAAAATATTAATTCTACCCTAAATGCCTTTTTGCAACCTCGGTAATGAAGTATTATTTTCCACCGTGTTGTCCACCTTTAGATGGTCTGCGTTAAAACAACACTGTAAGGTAACGCATCTTCAGAACATCGTAGTTTCACCATGGTTTAGGGTCAGTAGCATCCACTGTGCATAATTACATTTCCTAGATAAGATCAATTGAATTCTCTGAGCCCTGCGGTTGTCTTTTCCTAAGTCCTTATGTATTCTCCTTCTCATTTTTCCTTGACCTCACAATGTTTTCCATCGAGGTCAAAGAAAAGTGGTTAGGAAAGGAAACTTTTCTGACTTTTTTGACCGCAGCCCATGTCTTGCATGGAGGGGGAATGTTAAACCTCCATCAGCTGATCAGACGGCAGCAGCTGATCTGAATATTAGGTCATTAATTTATCCGCTGTTATGCTGCTGTCTGTTATGGAGCCCCAAAGTGTTGATTAAATTTTATTATTAAATGGAGAAATATGAAACGAAAGTTGAATGAATACGTTCAGTAAAATACAGAATTTAACTGATGATTTATTAAATAAGGAGAAAAATTACACTTCAGCTCATAAAATGTTCTTTTATTCTCTTGAGTTCATTTGTTTTTCATTATAGACATTTTTCAAGTACACTAACTCAAGTACTGTACTTATGTACAAATTTAAGGTGATTTAACTTTTCTTTTCATGCCACTTTCTACTATCGTCACGCAGAAATTTTACTTCACTTTACTTCAGTATGATTAAAATATTTATTATTATAACTTGTTATTTTCTTATAAATTAAAGGACACAACAGTTTACACAAGTACAGCTAAAAATGATTAGTTGAAATTAATTGGCAATTATTTTAATAATGGTTTAAGTGTAAAAACATTTCATGGTCTCAAATGTGAGGATTTGCTGATTTTCCGTTCAAACGTTCAGACTCTTTACACTAATTTAAAAAAAACAAACACTTACTTAATAGAGAAATTAATCAGCAGATAACTACAGCTATAATGAAAATAATAATTTAATCAAATCAGCTCCACCTCAACAGCTACGACAGTAAAATCCAGCTTTTGCATTAGTATATGAAGAAGAAGAATCTGATAATAGAATATTTAACAGTCACAGGGGACATTTTACAGTACTTTTATACTTTAAATATATTTTCCTGATGAAACTTACATAAATTGTTAAAATGTCACATATTTTTATTTTATTTTATTTTAGTTTGTGTTTTGTTGTTTTGTGTGTTTTGGTTTAAAAATTAAAATTATAATATTCATAATATATTCAATATTTTTTGAAGACAGTTTTTGTTTTAAAGCATGTTAGTTGGTAGTATTTTACTTTCTACATTTTTGTTGTGTTTGTTGTTTTTACCAGACTAAGTTGTTTTAGCAGGAAATCACTTAAGAACATCCTTGAATATAAAATCAGGAGGTTTCTGTTCAGAGACTTCAGGTCGTGTTAATGTTATGAAGAGAATCAGACTGTTGTAATGTCAGTGAGCAGCCAGCAGAGGGCGATGCAGACCAGAGGGAAAACACTGCAGCAGAATTGAGTGTGTTGTCAACTCAGCTTCATATGTACTTAGGTCAAACCGAGCATCAGAACGGGGAAGAAAGGGTATTAAATGACTTAAGGGAGCGTGGCATAGTTGTTGTTGCCAGACAGGCTGGTCTGAGTATTTGAGAAACAGCTGATCTACTGGTGGGATTTTCACGCACAGCCATCCTTAAGGTTTTACAGAGAATGGTCGGAAAAAATATATATAAAATATCCAGTGAGCGGCAGTTGTGTGGTCGAAAATGCCTTGATGTCAGAGTTCAGAGGAGAATGGGCAGACTGGTTCAAGATGACAGAAAGGCAACAGTAACTCAAATAACCACCCGTTACAACCAAGGTAATAGGGTCGCATGATATTAACAAAATGTGATATTGATCATGAATATTGCGATAACGATATTCATTTCGATATTCTCAAACATACACTGAACAAAATTATAAACACAACATTTTTGTTTTTCCATCCATTCAGTATGAGCTGAATTCAAAGATCTAAGACTTTCTCTATGTACATTTTTGAGTGTCCTTTTATTGTGGCCAGCCTAAGGCCTTTTATTGTGGCCAGCCTAAGGCCTTTTATTGTGGCCAGCCTAAGGCACACCTGTGCAATCCCCATGCTGTCTGATCAGAATCTTGATATGCCACACCTGTGAGGTGGATGGATTATCTCGGCAAAGGAGAAGTGCTCACTGACACAGATTTTGACAGATTTGTGAACAATATTTGAGAGAAATAGGCCTTTTTTGTACATAGAGAAAGTCTTAGATCTTTGAGTTCAGCTCATGGTGAGTGGGGGCAAAAACAAAAGTGTTGCCTTTATAATTTTGTTCAGCGCATGTAAAAAACAAAAACAAAAAAACAACACAGGTACATACATTTCCCCTTCGATCTCCGCTGTTTTGTTGTTTGCCTCAGTCTTTTCTTTCGCTCCTCTGACTCGCTTTGCTTGGCTTTTCCCCCCGTTCTCTCTCTCTCTTTACTCACGCTGCAGAAGTATGCACATACATCACGTGGTATGCTCTATAGGGTGTGTTTGTGTAGTGGAACCATGCGCTCAAACTTGTATATGGAAGGGCACCAGGCCAATGAAACATGATCATATAGCCGTTTCAAACCGGTTCTAAAGTGAACACAACTATGCCAAACAGTCAATAGACGCACGTCTCCACAAAATAACAGAATATGAATACATCCTGCCTTCTATCAACAGTTCAGGCTGGTAGTGGTGTAATGCTGTGGGGGATATTTTCTTGGCACACTTTGGGCCCCTTAGTACCAATGGAGCATTGTTTAAATGTCAATATCGACCAAAGTCTCTGAGGAATGTTTCCAACACCTTGTTGAAAGTTTATCCATCCAGTTGAAGTATCCACGAAGAATTAAGGCAGTTCTGAAGATGAAAGGAGGTCCAACCAGTTACTTGCAAGGTGTACCTAAAAAAGTGTCTGGTAATGGTCAAAAAAATTACTAATTGATACTCCGATGCTTTCGCACTTGTTAAAGAGATTATACTGAAATGAGAGGTTTGATGTGGTCACTCACTTTTCTGAATCTTCCGTCAAGTGAACAAACAAGACAAAACTATCATTCCCTTCAATTTTTACATACATTTTGATAATTTACTTCTGGCTGTTGAAGCAATTATCTGCAGATTTTAGGCCATACATCCGAAATATTACAATAAGCCAAATGATGAACAATAGTAACAAAGAAAGTAAAGTAAGTAGTCAGTAGTCAGTAGAGCTACTAAACCCAAACAGTCACAGTAAAATGTCACAGTACACGTATGACATATTAAGCAGTTAAATTCCCGTTGGTTGCATTGGTTGCATCAGTGGAATAAAAGGAGAAAAAGAGGGAGTCATTGTGTTTGTTAACACCTGTAACCATGAAGAGAGTTACCATTACACTTAATGTCCCTGCACACATTTCTCTGTTACCTTTGTTTTCAGCCTGATCTCATACATGCTTATTAAGAGGAGCTGAAGTCAAAGAGATCACAGCTTCATTCACGACATTCAAGCAGAGAATATTGAGTAAGTACTTCTATTATGCTATTACATTTCTGCACTATAAATCAATGCCGTTTGTTTTAGTTATTTTGCAATGAACGTTGCAAGACTTAAAAAAAACAGATTTTTTTAAATTACAAATTCATCAGAAAATGTTATGAGCAAACAATTTAAGTTGAGTCTTACAGCCAGTTGTTAAAAATTATCAGTTTTATTTTTCAGTGTGCAGAGAGAACTGTAACTGTATCACCATAAT